GGCGGGCTGGCGGGCCAGCCCGCTTACAAAAATAAAAAATAAAAAAAAATGAAAAAAAAATATTTTATGGTCAAATAAAAAAAAAATTGCTACAAATAAATAAATATAATCATATGAAATTAAAAATGCATACATATTGTACTTAATATATGTTCAACAAAAACAAATTACAAACTTAAAACAAAATCAAATAGAAATTAATCCATTTACACCAAAATCAAAATCAAATTATAAACTTACAAATTATTTATAAACTAAATTTTTTGATAGTCCACAAAACAAGTTTAAATACAATTAATTAACTTTAAATTTTTATTTTAAGAATATTAGAAACTCTCTTGAAAGAAGTTATCTCTACTTTTTTTCTTAATCATCTTGATCCTCATCTTCTACATCAAAATAAAATAAACAAAAATAATTAAATAAAAAAAAATATGCAGGCCGGCGGGTTGTGGCGGGCCGGCCCTCTATTTGGCCCGGCGGGTTGGCAGGCTTGACAGGGCGGGCTTGGCGGGTTGAAATGATTAGCCCGGCCCGCCAATTTTTGGCAGGCCAACAGGCCGGCCCGCGGGCCATGACCCACTTTGCCATCCCTAATTACCACCACCAATCAATGATACCCTCATGCAGAAGCCTTCAATTTCTATTCATGCTACACATTTTTGCCCAATAGTAGTGCTCAACAAAGAACTATGGCTGAGCATTGAGCAATACAGAAATTTCAGAAGTCTTCATCCGAACTAACAAAATCTAATTCAATCATCTTTTCTGTACTTTTTGGGATTTTATCAGCCAAAACTTGCTTGTCTGGTTTTATTCTTTTTACATCCAGCTGTCGGGTTCCAGCGGAACCGACATTCGGAAAAGATGATTTCCTGAATACAATAATAACAAGTGAAATTATTATGTTAGTCTTCTATCAATGACATGCATAAAATGCAAGTGACATTAAACAATAATGTTTTTTTTTTGTTCTTTTGCAACTCACCTCTTCTCCATGCATTTGTTTTGTTCATTGGGAAACTTTGGTCCTTTATTCTTCATTTTCGGATCCGCCTTGCCTGCTTATAGTAACAGAAAACAGCTAAGAATACAAAGCATGAATACTTTAATGAATGCAATTGAAGTTGTAAGATAGTCCAATCACCTGCAACCTCAGAAAGAAACCTAATCCCTTGAGAATGAGTAGTTGTTGTTACTTTTCCTGCATTGCTGGCATAGAAATTATTATTAATAGTGACCGCAAAAGAATTCAAGTGGAGTACAATATAAAGTCGAATGCCCTTGCACTATAGCTTGCAAGCACTGGGTCCATGTTAATAGTGACAAACCTCAATGCCTTTCTGAGACCATCCACCGACAATAATTTCACTGGCTGAGACTTCTTTAAGTTTGTTTTGTCAGCAAGAGGATCAACTAAGTAAATTCCTTCTGATTTGAGGTAATCCCTTGGCCTAAACGCTGTTCTTAAGTTTCTGCTAACAAAAAACACGTTTATATGTCACATATGAGATGAAATCAAACATGTTGAGTGCAACTTTTAGCCAGCAATAAAAAATTGAACCTCGAAAGAAATAAACACCCACCCTCCCTTGAGTTCACTTCGCATCGTGGAATACTTCTCTGATGCTTTCTACAGGAAAGCAAATATAGTTAGTAAACTGATATCCTTGTTACAACAGAATAGACAAGAAAACCAGAAAGAATAAAATGCCACTTACTGATTTATGATATTTACAATATGTTCCATGACGTCTGAAATATCAAGGAGCAACGGTTATGGAGATATCAATCAGCATACCAAAAATACTATGATACTGTCAGAAGGATGGTTTACAAGGAAAACTAGAAAAGTATTAAAGGTCATATACTCTAGAAAAACAGTTTAACAAGCATGCCAAGCACATGGATCCTTGTTACAACTGATGCTGTTCATGCTTTGCTAATGTTAATTTAGTAAAGTGAATTCTCAAAAATCAATAGATTGTTATTGAAGTGACGAAACCTTATAAAAATCTAAACAACTGACTCACCCACTCTGCACTTCATTTTCTAAAATACACCCTAGAGAATTTTTCCTTCAAACGGATATTATATTACAAGCTTGCAAGATATATTCTGCAACAACGCCTAGCACGATCTCGCCTTTTATTTGTCAGAGTCAAAAATCAATTGCATTTCTCATGATTAAGGTAGTTGAAGTAAAGCATTGCTAAATGCCAAGTTACTATTTAAATCAGGCATATTCAATAAAGAGATCATCTGTGGAAACACCTATAAAAAATCTGTGATCATAAATCCCGTCGCAAATATCTGAGGACCAGGTTCACAGGACTAAAAAGAAACCTATTGCGATTTCACATATCATATCTATAAAAAAAAATAAAAGAAACTGTGTAGTTTGCACACCTATTTATGACCAAAGTACAAGCCATCCCATCCGCTCGTTTCCCTTTGCAAACTCCATAATCAACAGAGGTGCCCATTTTCATAATTTGTTTAGGGGAGTATATACTCAAAGTAAAACCATTTCCCTGAAAAAAAATTAAGAGATTGCAAAACTTATGGCAAACCATGATGAATAAAACACAAACAAAAACTCGAACCAACTCATAACAATTGAATACCGCATTATCCTTGCGGACAGCACAATTAAACAGCGCAAAGACCGTTCCAGCTTGTTCTTGCATGTTCCTCTGATAAGCATCTCCAAACAAGAAAAGAGAAACAGTACTTTCATCCAAACATCCAATTTTCCAAATGCAATAGCCCTTCCCCGACGAACTCGTCCTCTGACTCCCCTTCTCGGTCAATACTCCAACAGTCGCCCAACTTCCAGAAAGTGTATCCCCAATCAACGAATTCCTGAGTAAACCAACCTTATAACATAAGAATTTCAATTCATTGATGTTGCAACTTATGTTGCGGGATAAGGAAAATACGTTAAAAAACAGAGTTTATTTTAAAAAAAAAAACTAGTATTTATTGGGACAAATTTGAGTTATTCCAATCGAGCATACTAATTATTTATTGTTTTCAAATCTTTACACATGCTATTCATCCCGGGCTAGAGAAAGCAGAAGGAGGTAAAGTGAATTACTTGATAACTGATAGCCGAACAAAACGAATATCTGAAAAGTGTTCCTTAAGCTCGGCGGGAGTTAACAATTGGTTCCTGGACAGAACAGAGAAATAGACAATAAGTGGCACTTCAGTCGGAACTGTTTGGATATGAATTTGCAGCAATGCGTAATAGTGAATTAGATAAATGAAGAAGAGGCGAACCTTATTCTGAGGCCTGAAAACTTTTCAACCTGAGAATCATTAGAATCGGGTTTGTTGGTGGGTTTGGGCATTTTGGGAGGGTCGTAGGGAAGGCAATCCTGAACGGCGTTTTTGAATACGGACATGTCGGGCTTCTCCCTTTGCTTGATCGATTCATCGTCGGAGAGGTAAACTGCAAATGCAATGACAGAGAAAATTAAGAAGAAGAAGGGAATGGATTGCACATAGAATGGCACGTGATACTTACCTGGTGAGGGAGAAGCGGGAGGGGTGTCAACAACTCTATCCTGGAGGGAAAGGAGGAGATCGAGGTCGTCTTCATGGCTAGACATTATTCCTAATGCTCTCTAATCGCAAATCGCAAATCGCAAATCGCAATGCAATGGGACAAAGGAAGGAAGGGTTAGGGTTTTGCTGCTTTTGATTTTGGAGGGAAAACTCCCCCAACATTATTAACTTTTCATATTTGGACCGGATTCTCACCTCTCCTGCATCCACCATAATATAATATTATACTACCCAACCCAAACAACCCTTTTTAATATCTATCTTAATCTTGTAGATAATTATATTTTTATTATTTAAAAATTTTAAAAATTAATATTTTTATATTTTAACTCAAAATCTTAAGAGTCAAGAAAAAATCATAACATCATAAGAACTAACATATTTTTATTGTTTAATTTTATTTTTCTTTTTTTTTTAATTAATAAAGGTATAAAATGTCTCCAATTTATTAATAATAATAATATATTATTAATTATTTTAAAATTATAAAGAAAATATAATGATAAATAGCCATTTTTTATTTTTATTATTATGTCCTAGGGATGTAAAAATAATAATTTATCATATCTTTACGAACAACCATGCTTAAATATTTAATATTTTATTTATGCAAATGTTAGAAATATAAAGTGTTTTGACCCTTATAAACAATCATAAAAGAATTAGTATTATAAAAATTTATTTTTTATTAAATAATTTTTCATTTAAAATACATTAAAATATATTTTTATATTTAAAACTTAAATTGTAGTATAAACTATATTATCGATAAAATTTTTAAAAAGTTGTTTAAATTGAATTTAGAAATAAAGTTAAATGAGAAAAGAAAAAGAAAAAGAAAATATATATATATATATAAAGAGATGAAAGATTAAAGTTAAATTGAGAGATGAATATTTTAATTAATTAGAAGAGTAGTATATAAAAATAAAATATATTAAGAACAAAGTAATTAATTTGGAGGGTGAGGTGGTTGAGTGAATTAAGAAAAAAAATGTGATAGGGGAAGGCAAGGATTAGGAGAGAAAGAAAAGGTGAAGCGATGATTCGTAGGAAGAATGAAGGGAAGAGCGAGTTTGTCTCCGAGGCCATAGACGTAGGTGTGTGAGGGTGCTATAAAGGGGCGTTCCATGCAATGGAAAAATCAGCTTCTGGGCACCTCCTTTTACCTGAGAAAGGAGGCTCGCGTGGCTCCCTTGGTTTCCTGTGCAAGTTGAGGAAAATGACAACTCGCGTCATTCTCTTCCTGGCCTTGCTTTCCATCCTCGTCGCCGCTGCTCATGCACGCGGCCACCATAAGGGTAGGCATGGCCGCCATTTGGCCGCTCAAAATGTCACTTACGATGGTAAGTCACTCTTCATCGACGGCAGGCGCGAGATACTCTTCTCCGGCTCCATCCATTACACACGAAGCACCCCACAGGTACCTACATATATATTCATTTATATATTAAATTCTTTTATATATTCATATTCATATTCATATTCATGTGTGCATGCATGCATGCAGATATGGCCTGACCTTCTTGACAAAGCAAGACGCGGAGGTTTGAACGTGATTCAAACCTACGTGTTTTGGAACGCTCACGAGCCAGAGCAAGGACAATTCAACTTCCAAGGCAATTATGACTTGGTCAGGTTCATTAAGCTTGTTCAAGCTTATAATATGTTTGTCACACTCAGGGTTGGGCCATTCATCCAAGCAGAGTGGAACCATGGAGGACTTCCATATTGGCTTAGGGAGGTCCCAGGGATCATATTCCGCTCTGACAATGAGCCCTATAAGAATTACATGCAGGGATTCGTGACAAAGATTATACAAATGATGAAAGATGAGAAGCTCTTTGCTCCCCAAGGAGGCCCCATCATCTTGGCTCAGATTGAGAACGAGTATAACCATATTCAACTTGCATATGAGGAGAAGGGAGACAGTTACGTCCAATGGGCTGCAAATATGGCTGTGGCACAACAAATTGGAGTTCCATGGGTCATGTGCAAGCAGAGAGATGCCCCTGATCCGGTCGTAAGTTATCATATTCATACCCACAATTTCTCTTCCATGTGTATTACTATTACTATTACCTTAACGCCTTTGGATTTGGCAGATCAACGCATGCAATGGAAGGCATTGTGGTGACACTTTCTCAGGCCCAAATAAGCCATACAAGCCAGAAATATGGACTGAGAACTGGACCGCTCAGTATGAAATCGCTTAGTGCTTGCTTGCTTATCCTTAGTCAACAACTTCTAAATTATCAACCATATATCCTATAATACATTTCTTGTTAATTTGCAATTACAGGTACAGGGTATATGGTGATCCACCGTCCAGGAGATCCGCAGAAGACATTGCCTTCTCAGTTGCTCGCTTCTTCTCCAAGGGTGGAAATTTGGTTAACTACTATATGGTGCTACCCTTAGGCCTTAACATCAAATCTCCGATTAACATTTTGTTCATTTATTTTTCACTTTCTAACTGAATGTGAAACTCTTGTGTTGTAGTACCACGGTGGAACAAACTTTGGTAGAACAAGCTCTGCCTTTACCACAACCCGCTATTATGATGAGGCGCCTCTTGATGAGTACGGTCTCCAAAGAGAACCTAAGTGGAGTCATTTGAGGGACGTGCACAAAGCTTTGCTCCTTTGTAGAAAGGCTATCCTTGGTGGCATTCCCACTGTCCAAAAGTTGAACGAGTTTTATGAGGTAAATATCTGACACAGGTTGCTTATAAATAAATCAGTGTCCCTCACAGGTGAAATTAAACTAAGCGAAGCTGCTACATATATTTTGCAGATTAGAACCTACGAGAGGCCTGGAACTGACATGTGTGCTGCTTTCCTCACTAACAACCACACCATCGAGCCAGCCACCATTAACTTCAGAGGTGTAAACTACTATTTGCCTCCACATTCCATTAGCATCCTCCCTGATTGCAAGACCGTCGTCTTCAACACCCTAAACGTAAAAAATTAACTAGTTCCTCCCTAATGTTACATACGTACAACTCCCTCATTGCTCCATATAACTAACTATTTGTCACATACAACAGGTTGTTTCACAACATAACTCAAGGAACTTCGAGAAGTCACCCGCTGCAAACAATTTCCAATGGGAGATGTTTAACGAGGCCACTCCAACGACCAAGAAAATGCCCATATACCAGAATATTCCTGCTGAGCTTTACGGCT